GCACATGAACAAGCATGAGGACCAATGGAATAGAATTGAGGACCCAGGCATGATCGCACAGAAGAAATAAGAATTGCCAATAGACACATGAAGAAATGCTTAGCGTCACTGGCCATTTTAATAAATGCAAATCAAAAACCACGCTGAGATTCCACCTCACCCCAATGGCCATTATCAAGAGGGTGTGGCCAAAAGGGAACACTACTACACTGTTGGTGGGAATGTAAGCTGGTTGAGCCACTCTGGAAGGCAGTATGGAGGTTCCTCAAAAGACTGAACATTGAACTCCCCTATAATCCAGTAATCCCATAGAGGCCCAGTCCCATAAATGCCTTCCTGGGCATTTATCCAAATGATACCAAGCTAGGCCTCAGTAGGTCAAATTTCTGTATCATGGAAGTAACTGTTGTTGTTACTATTGTTTACATATGTTCTATATTTTATTTTTTAATCTCCCAGAAGCTATATCTTATTCTTCAGATCAGAAAAGAACTATTACTTTTTTAGGTTGTGGGGCTTGAACTCTGGGCCTGGGCGCTGTCCCTCAGCTCTTCAGCTCAAAGCTAGGGCTCTACCACTTGAGCGACAGCGCCATTTCCAGCTTTTTCTGCTTATGTGGTACTGAAGAATCGAACCCAGGGCCTCATGAATGCAAAGCAAGCACTCTACCACTGAGCCACCTTCCCAGTTCGGTTTTCCTCACTCGTAATAATTAGTATATGCCTAGTATAATCCTGGTAGAGAATCATAATAGCTCAAGAGCTATGTACATATGACCATTTAAAATGATGCTAATTTAAAGGAACTCCAAGACATGGAAACAACACATCTCTTTTTCAGTTGTCAACCTTGATGTCACCAATGTACTATTACCTAGTTCTTTCTACTTATTTTATTTCACTTTTCTTTTTACACTGGTTTATCCCTGGCAATCTCTGTCTTTGATTCTGGTAACCTCCATTTTGTATATTCATTTATCTGATTTGGGAAAGGGGAGGGAAGTAACAAAATGCTGAAAGAAGTGCAAAGGATGGCCATTGCGACAATGATCCTCACGGGACGTTATGTTGGAAATAAACTCTACAACTTTGGGCAGGGGGGAGAACTATAGTGTGAGAACAAAAATGGAGTGGGTATCGATGTTCAACAAGAAATGTCCCTTACTCATGTACCTGTTACGCCACTGTCAGCATCTTCACCAATTAAAATTAAAAGCATTTGTTTTAAGGCCCCAAATTCTTAGTGTTCTACTAATTCAAAAAATGACAGCCATCACACCAAGGTAAATGGATGGCTTCTCTCCGTCAGAAGCAGCGCCTGCGCTCATCCAAGCACCATCCCTTTGCTCTGGTCCACACCCACAGAGCTGATGTATCCCACCAACCTCGTGGAAAGCTGACAAGTGTATTGGAGCTCAGGATGCAAATACCCAGGTAGAGCATTCAGAATTTGGGGGGGGCTTAAAACATTAATTATGAGTGCTCACCTCATTCACAAAAGGACAAACATCTCAACCAAGATAAATGTACATACAGCTTCTTTCCATCAGAAGCAGCTCCAGTGTTCATCCTAGCGTCTAGGGCTGCCCACAGCCACAGTTCTGATTTTTACCCAGACATCTTGGAGAGCCGAGAAGTGCATTGGAGCTCAGGGTGCAAATGACAAGATAGAGCACGCAGAATGTGGAACTCAGGCCCAGCCCTGGCCTCGGTGCCTGGAGTCCACCAGCACCGGTCTCTGGGGCCCAGCTGCCCAGCCCCTGCAAGGTGGGGCTCCCTGCTCCACGCCCCCCCCCCCCCGTCCTGCCACCCGCCTGCCCTGCTTCCCACGCCCAGAGAGCCAGGGTCCTAAAATTAAGATGTTGCTGGTGGTCTGTGAAGAAGGCTCATCTCACCTAGTGTCCGCCCTGCCCGGGGCCCATCCAGCATGAGTGGACGCCCGCCTGCTCACTCCACGCCTGGGCCTCTGCGCCCGGTCCTCCCACCCCTCCCTGAGGACGGGTGAACCGGCAGAGCTGGTGAGAAGTGCTCAGCCCCGAGCTATGTAGCGGAAGTCTGTAGTTCCGGCTCCGGGAGGTCACGCGTCCCAGGCCCGTCCTGGCGAGGCTCAACAATAAGCTAAAAGCGATGAAAGGGCTGGGAGGGCACCGGTGGCGGGCACTGGCCTGGCGTGCCAGACCTGTGTCCCAGGACTGCAGAGAATAAGCGACATAAAACAATAAAATGAAAAGTTGGGGGAAGGAGGCAGCAGGTGCTCAGCCTGCCCAGGGCGGCCGCGGGGCTGAGCCCAGGCGGCGCCGGCAGCGCGCACAGTCCTCCGGAGGCTGCGGGGCACCGCAGTGCACGCGCGCCCCCTGGTGGCGGCCTGGCGGCCAGCACCCTCCCAGGACCGCCTGGTGGAAGACATAAAAGACACATTTATGCACTTAAACAGCTTCAAAATGCCCAAAACGTGCATTTTGTGTACTTATTACATGCATAGCTAAGCTATATAAATATATCTTATGGGCTAAATGGACGCACTGGCAAGATGCACAAGGATTTTATGAGCTTTTGGGGGCATTACTCGTGTTTTCCGGGAGGAGCGTGTGGGGCCAGCAGAGGGAACCCGAGCTCCGCGCCAGTGTCAAGGTAAGCGGCCACGCCCACCGGGGGGCCACCCCCGGCCGGGCTCTGCCCCCGCCCCTCCCGGGCCCTCCCCTCTGCCCCGCCCCGCCCCTCCCGGGCGCCTCCCCTCCCAGGCCCCGCCCCTCCCGGGCCCTCCCCTCTGCCCAGCCCCGCCCCTCCCGGGCGCCTCCCCTCCCAGGCCCCGCCCCTCCCGGGCCCTCCCCTCTGCCCAGCCCCGCCCCCGGGCCCTCCCCTCTGCCCAGCCCCGCCCCCGGGCACCTCCCTCCCAGACCCCGCCCCTCCCGGGCCCTCCCCTCTGCCCAGGCCCCGCCCCTCCCGGGAGCCTCCCCTCCTAGGCCCCTCCCCTCCCGGGCCCTCCCCTCTGCCCAGGCCCCGCCCCTCCCGGGCGCCTCCCCTCCCAGGCCCCGCCCCTCCGGCCCCCAGCGTGGCCCTGGAAAGCAGCCTGGCGCTGCTAAACCCTGCGCTCCTGCAGCCAGGCTGGGCGGGGAGGGCCCGGTGCATGGCTGGGCCATGGAGCCCATCAGGCCGGGCAGCGCCTCCAGGAAGGCCAGGCCTCTATGGCCAGGCTTCCCGCTTCCCTCTCGTCCCTCCTTTGCTCTCCTCTTCCTCTTTGCTTTCTCTGGGCCCACTAGGCGGGCTGGCCAGGTGCTGCTGAGCCACGCCTCCCGCCTTGCTTTTCGCTAGTCATTCAAGGACCGCGTCTCCCTCCCACCTGGCCCCAGCCTCAGCGCGATCCTCCCACCGCCAGTCTCTCCCAGCTGCTGGGCTCCAAAGCATCCGGCCTCCCTCCGTGGAGGCGGAGTCCGGCAGGCTCTCCTGCCGGCCACGCTGGCCTCCTACTCTTGGCCTCCACATGGCCCTCCACCATGCACAGAAGGTAGTGCGCTCGCTAGGGCAGGCTGAGGCGGTCCTGGCAGTCCTGAGTGAGGAAGCAAGGGGCAGGAGGCAAGAGGGGCAGAGGGCCGGTCCCTCCCCGCGGAAGCAGCAACCTCACTTACTGACCCCCCCACCCCGGCCCCACCCCACCACAATGTCTTCCTGCTGCGGTGTCAGGCTATGGGCTGCAGCCTGACGCTGAGGTGGCAGATGGACCCTTAGGCGGCGTCCAGCAGGAGGCAGCCAGGCCTGGCTGGCGGGGAGCTCAGGGCTTCTCCTCTGATCTTGCAATAACCCATGGAATTTCCTCAAAATGCACGTTTTGATTCTGACTTTGTGGTATCAAAGCGTCTTCCCATTTTGTTTTCTCTCTTTGTGAGCCAACGAGCAAAATAAAGCACCGTCAAGTGGGTTTGGCAAGCCTCAACCGTGGCCTCACCTCCCTGCTGTCTGGAAAGTCCACAGACATCACTGTCCCCATGGCCAGCTGCACCTGACCCTGCAATGACTGCTGTCTGTCACATGACCTCTCTCCCCATCAGATGACCCCCCCTCTCCTCATTGGATGACCCCTCTCCTCATCCAGTGAGCCCACTCTGCATCTTACAGAGCTGAGCCACCCTAAGCCACATGCCAACACACAGTGGGCATGCAATTACAAGTGGAATGAATGCATGAATGTGAAGTAAACTTCCCATACTTGGGCTACAGAGGAGTGGGGGGCAGGGCAGGGCAGGGCAGGGATGGCATGTAGCCCCATCCTGCTGAGCTGGGGTGTTCAGTTCCCTGTGCTCTGGCCACTGGAGAAATGGAGCCATAAGGGAAAGCTTTGAGAAATACCCGGCTGGAGGACATGGCCTGGCAGACGTCTTCTTGCTCGGCAGGGAGCTTGTGCAGGTCTCCCCCACCGAACAAATCAGAGGGAAGACGGCAGAAGGGAAGCAAACTAACCCGGACCACATGAGTGGGGGAGACGTGGCTGAGAGAGGGCTGAGAACCCCATCCCTGCCCTGCGCCCACGGCTGGGGTGCTGGGGAGGTGGGGCTGGCTGCTACTCTCAAACTTAGGTGGTGTCAAGTGCCAACATTTGGGGGGCACTCCTCCCCCCAGCAGATGGCAGCACCTCTGGAACTTTCCATTTCTCCCACAGAATCCAGTCGGAGGTTTTTGGGTCCCCTTTCCTCTGCGCACCCCCCCCCCCCGTCTGGCTGCATCCATTTCTCTTTGATTCCCAGGACTTAGTTTCCCCCCAACACCGCCATTGAGCCTGGAAAGGGTGCTGGGGGAGAAGGTGATGACCAAGGTGCGGATCCAACCTCAGGAAGGAAGGCCAGCAGCATGCCTTTCTAACCTGGCCGACCAGCAGCCTGAGGCTGCTGCCTGGGGACCAGCTCTGTACAGCATTGGGCTTGGGGCTCTGCTTCAGACCGACGGCCGTGTCAGGGGCTCCCCTCTCCAGCACGGGCTCGGAGGGTGAAGAGAACAAGGCCGCCTGGGAAGTGCTAACATATTTATTTCAAGATGGGGAATGGGGTAATGGAACCACCACCAAGAGAATGCCAGGTGAGGTCCTGGCCCCTCGCATGGGCAGGTGACTACAGGGGTCCTCCTGGGCAGGGGGTGGCCAGGGGCAGCAGTGGGGACTGACTGGCAGAGGCGGGGCCCACCCCAGGCAAGACTGTGGCCAGCGACAGGAGCCTGCCCCCCACACAGGTGAGCAAAGCAGCGAGCCCCAGGCCACAGAGCTGTGATGCTCTCCCCACCACACACACACACACACACACACACACACACACACACACACACGCACATGCATGCACGCACGCACGCACACTTACACCCTCTCCCATGCATGCACACACGCTCATATATTAACTCTGATTTACAGGTGCACCCTCGCCAGAGGGCAATTGGAAAGAAACGATGCAATTATTCTGCAGAGGAGACGGCCCGTGTGGCCGGCAGAGCCAGGGCGATGAGGCCTGGAGCATCATCCAGGTCCTGGGTCCTCACCGGCCATTCTTCAGCTCCTCACTCTCCTCTGAGGCATCATGAGCCAGGCCACACTGCCCCTGCCTGGCCATGGCCGGCAGAGCAGGCTCCACTGCGGGGAGCCCATGGAGGTGTTTCCAGCCTGATTCCAGCCCCTGAGGGGCACACATGGAGAAGCCAGGTGCCCAGTGTCTGGTGTCACCCTTCAAGGCCCCTTAGGGAGGCCCAGGAAGTCCAGCACTGTGGGCCCGGGGCCTCCCGGGCTGTGGAGTATGAACACGCAGAAGCCACCTCAAACCAATGGAGCAGGGGCTTTGCTCCTCTTCTGAAGAGGAGGATGGAGCCCCCCATTTCTCTGAGGCCGGGTGAGGTTCGGAAGCTGCGGCTGCTGCAGACGATGAGGAAGTGGGGGGCCCTGCCTGGCCCAGACCCTGGCACCAGGGCGGGGATGACGCAGAGGGGAACAGTGGCCCCCCTGAGGCCTGGAGCTGGGGGACACAGCTCCAGGGGTCCCCGAGAAGGGTTGGGGGTGCTTTCCAAGGTTCACCAGCCTCAGGGCTCCTGGGAGACCCATGGGGCTCAAGTCTTCAGCTGGGGACCCCATGCAGCCCGGGGCCTGGGCTCCTGTGGCTGCCACCATGTCCCGAGTTGGGCTGGTCAGGCCCAGCCCCTCCGGCTACTTGATGTAGTTCTTAATCGTCCACCGCTGCCCTGTGCAGGGCCGCAGGATGAGGTCCAGGCCGGACAGGCCCCGGTTTTCCACCTCCAGGCAGCGCCCTGTGCCTTTGTTCATGATGGCTCCATTCTGGAAGACAGACAGACGGACGAATGGACAGATGGGAGGAGCCTTGACCACCAAGGCACCTGGCCTTGAGAACCATCCCCCCCCATCCTTCCCTCATCAGGTGCCAGGCCGTGCAAAGGATCATGGGAGTCTCCTGGGAAGACTAAGTCAGAGAACCAATGAACTGGCCAGTCCCAGTGGCCCAGCCAGGGGAGAGCAGGGATGGGGTGCAGTCAAGGCAAAGAACTTTCCTGGAGGGGATCGAGACCTTCCCCCTGCCCTGTAAACCCCCTCCACCCCATCTGCCCCCATCCCACCCCGGTGCCCACCTGGATGAAGGCCCAGCGCTTGTGCAGGCTGCTCTTGACCTTGTCGCAGTCCAGGAGCTGGGGCAGCCGGCTCTTGGCGCTGTCCACCAGGCAGCGGGTGTCCGGCAGGAGTGTGGTGGTCCCCAGGGCGCCCAGGTGCAGGAGGCCCTCCTTGGTGTAGCGGGCCAGCTACGAGGAGGGCAGGAGGGACGTGTGCACCAGCCCCTCCCTGCCTCACCCCTCCATTTGCGCTCCAGCCACAGCCTGTCTCCACAGGACTGGTACACAGGACCCCAAGCTCACAGAGCCTCGATCAGACCCCCCTCCTGGCTCCCCCACCCCTTCCCACCCTGGCCCTGCCCACCCCAGCCCTGCCCACTCCAGCCCCAGCCCCTTTCTGAGTGTTTTGAGCACATTTCAGAACTCCAGCCTTCTGTTCAGCCTGCCAGGAGGGCAGGAGCTGGCGAAAAGAACTGGCACCTGAATTCTTGGCTCACCCCTGTAACCCCAGCTATTCAGAGGGCTAGGATCTGAAGATCTCAAGACACTAACCCTGATTACCCAGTAAAATGCTGGACTGGGGGCATGGTTCAAATGGTAGAGCACCAGACACGAGCATGGCAGCCAAGTGAAAATGGGAGGCCCTGAGTTCAAACCTCAGTACACACACACACACACACACACACACACACACACACACAGCAAAACCAAAAACTAAATTCTGGCAGGTTGTCAGGCCAAGGTGAGGGCAGCAGTGAGCCCCTTGCTTCCAAAGGGGGGCTCTGGGACACACGTGTGTGCACTCACCAGCCCTGTGGGGGCTCTGGCCACCCGCAGCACACGGCTAGTTCTGAGGATGCACGTGAAGGCGTGTCTTGTACCCCTTTTCTAAGCATTACTTAGGGCAATCAATAGCGCGATTTCCACACGCATGCTTTCAGGATTATTCTCTCTGTCCCTCGCTTATAGGAAGCTGAGTCGCACGCACTGAGTTGCCCAGTGGAGTCCCGGTCTCTCCACTAGTGTCCTGGGACCCCAGTAGCAGGAGAGCCTCCCCACCCCACCCCACCCCAGGCTCCCAGAAAGCAGGGGCCCTGCGGCTGGGGAAACACAGGGAGGCGGCTCCACGCAGGGCACGAGAGGAGGGGCTCCTCTCCCAGTGAAATAGGGTCTTCTCTGGATTCGAGTCTCTTGGGGGAAGGGACGAGAGTGCTGGGCTCCAATCTGCAGCCGCTCCCTGTCCAGAAGAGACAGGACCTTCTTACACGTCCTCGAGAGATGCCATATTGCACTTATAATACGATTACGTACACTGGGAGTAGTTTCCCTTCCAACCCACCTCTACGTGCTCACACCCTACACGGGTCAGATTCACCCCTTCCGCTGCCCTCTCTCCCATGCAACGCTACTCATCAGCCACCTTCTAGAATGTTCCAAGGCCCGCCTGTGATTTCCACTCTTCCATGGTGTCCATTTTAACTCTTCGGACCCCGAGTCATCAACTCCGTGGGTCCTGAGCTCTGGTCCTTCTCGTGGCACAGCCATTCCCTTGCTTTTGTCTTGGCTGCTTTGTTTCTCCCTGCACCGGCAGGTGGATGGGTATGGGGCCTCCACCATCCGGCCGTGTGGGCCACGCTGCTCTGTGTACTGTGTGCATGCACGTCTTCCATCCCGCTGTGCGGACTCCTGGGGTCCCGAGGCAACACCCTTGGCAAGTTGGGGAACTGCCAAGTGGCATTCTAGCACAGCTGGGCCACGCCGCATGCCTGGCATCAGGAAGCCGGGGTACCGGCATGTCCCCAGCCCAGACAAGCAGGCATTGTCTGTGTCCTCATTCCAGCTCTGCAAGGGGAATAGGTAGGGGACATGAGGGCCCTGATGGCGGTTTCTCTAGTAGCTAAGGGTGAGCATGTTGGGGTAGGGTTTAGGGTTAGAAGTTAGGATTTGGGGCTGGGGTTAGAGGTTAGGGATTAAGATCAGGACATGTGCCTACCAATCATTTTGCACCTTCTTTGGGAAAATGTCTATCTGGAACATTTGCCAATTTTTTAAAAAAATGGGGCTGCCTTTCTAGTGTTAAGTTGTATGAATTATTTGTATATTCTGGAAGCTAGAACTTCTTATCAGATTTGCAAATATTTTCTTCCATTCTGTGTTTTTTTAAAACTTTTTCAACAGCATTCTTTGACGTACAAAAGGTTTTCATTTTGATCAAGTTCAATTCATCTGTTTTTTTTTTCCCCTGGCTGCTTGTACTTTTGATGTTGTTTTGGGAACCACTGCCAAATGCAGGGCCACGAAGACATCCCTCTCCTTGCGTTTTCTGAGGCTTCTCCATTTAGGCCTTTGATCTGTGCTGTGTTCATCCCCGGGGCTCAAGGGATGGCCGGGTGCAGATTCATCCTTGTTCGTGTGTGCAGTGGTCCCTGAGCCATCTGTCAGAAGAAGGTTCTCCATTGAAGTTCCCAGTCCCCTTGTCAGGATTAGTCGTGCGGTGCTGCTGGCTTTGGGTGACCCCACTGATCCTGCCTGGTCTTGATGTTCAATCTCAGCTTTGTGGTCAGATTTGAGGTTCTCTGTGTGACCCCACGGATCCTACCGAGCCCTCCTGGCTGCCCCAATCTTGATGTTCGATCACAGCTTGGAGGTGAGGTTTGAGTCTTCCCATCCCATGCCTCTCTCAGCATTGGCTGTAGCAGCTCTCCTGTGTTTTCCCAGCAGGCTTAGAGCCAACTTTTCTACTACTGCAGAGGCTGTGGTGGGGCTCTGGTGGGGTCTGTGGGTTACCATGGGGGTGTGTGCTCGCTTGGCTCCTAGCTCCACTCCTCTTTGACTGGGGCATTTACTTGTCAACAGTGCTCTGTGGCCATCCGCTCAGGCCAAGGGCTCTTGCCCTTTGTCCCTGGCTCACGGCCTCCCATCTGCCTTTCTCCCCTAGCTCCTCAAGTCTGTCTTCCTTTCCCTCTCCTCAGTTCCTCCAGGCTCCGACCCTCTTCTTGGTCATCTTTAGCAGAGGGCCCCAGATCTACACGTGGACTTTGATCACCTGGACTTCTCGAATAGCTAGGATGGCAGGCATGCTCCACCACGCTCAGCTTTTCATTGGTTGAGATGAGCTCTTGCAATTTTTTTTTGTCCTGGCTGTTTTTGAATCATGGTTCTGCACATTTCCATCTCCCAAGCAGCTAGGATGACTGGTGCAAGCCATAAAACCCAGCTCTCTGCTTGCATTTTTTTTTTTTTAGGGAAATCACAAATATAAATATATCTTGAAAAAAATCTCAAGCCGTAGATGTGGCAGCTACTACCTTGTCTCCCGGATCTCCCTGGCACGGTGATGCATTTTGTGGTCTGTTTCCCTCCTCGCTGCCTCCCAGCAGTCCTTTTGAGGGGAGGGCAGGGACCAGAGCCACTGGAGTCCTGGATCAGGGCAGCCCAGAGACATCCCAGCACCCCAGCCTGGCTCTGTCAGTCTGATTTCTGTTTCAACGCCAGATGGCGCTCGAAGCAGCCGCGTGGTACGGGGAGCTGGGCGAGCGGGTAGGTTCAGAGGCCAGGGTGAAGGACAGGCCAGGGCCAGCCCCTTCCTCATCCCCTGCTCTGCCCCTCACGCTTGGGTTCTGCTGGACATTTCCATACAGACATGGTGCCTCCTTTAAATGCCCCCTTTGGTCACGGAGGACACCAGACTTCTTGTGAAAAAGTCTTGGGGAACTGTGACCCAGAACTCACCAGCACTCCTTTCCTGGGGCTGAAAGGGCCTGCCTGCCTGCCTTCCCTCCGTCACCTTCCTCCCATTCCCTCCCTCCCTCCCTTTGCCTCTCTCTCTCTGTTGGTACTGAGGCTTACTTTCAAGGCCTTACTCTCCATTGATAGATGCCTGGCCACTCAAGTCATGACCCAGCCCTTTGCTGCAGCTTATTGTTCAGTTAGTATATTGTGCTTCTGCCCTGGGCTAACATGGACCATGCCCCCCCCCCCATATCCCACCCCACACTGTTTTCCTTGTGGCTGGGATCGCAGGTGTGACCCCCATGCCCGCCTATCCTTGGCCTCACTGACTTGGTTGGAGAGATGACTTGAGGCTTCTTAGAAATGCCCAGCAGTGTGGCCTGGATGGCCCAGGGTGCCCAGGCCCCAGCCTGCCCATCCTCAGATCCCTCCCGGCTCCACTTACACAACCGTGCAGTGGTGTCTTTCTCTCTACAGGTTCTGGGCTGTTGTTTTTAGGCCAGCAGCAGCAGCAGCAGCAGCAGCAGCAGCAGCAGCAGCAGCAGCAGCAGCAGCACAAGGGAAGCAAGCCACAAGAAGCAAATCCTCTTAAACGCCTTCAGAATGTCTTGTTCTGGGTTTGCCACGAGGCCCAAGGGAGAGACGGACATAGCTGCCTTATAACCCTGATGCACTCAGAATAAACCCTCTGCGTTCCAAGAACAATTTATCCTCATTTGAGGGAGAAAGGAATTTCCCATCTGAGCAGATCTGAGACACACAGAACCATTAGCCCAAACCTAAAACAGCCTGTCGGGAAATCTGAACTATGCAGGCAAGAGCCAGTCAACCAAGGCCAGAACCAATAACTGTGGAAGGAGGGTGGAACGGAGGCCCACCCAGCTGTCAATAAAGACAGCCTGCAGTGCGAGACTCCACACAGACCAGAGCCAAGTGCAGCCTGCGCACCTCCTGCCCGGGGACAGCGGTCCTCCTGTTTACTGCCCGCGTGACGCCCACCACAATGGCGGCAGACCTCACGCCCGTGCGCATGTTCACATCATCAAATCCCTCCTATCCTGAGCACAAGGAGGCAGCCCAGCAGTGGAGGAGGAAAGGACAGGGCGCAGGCACCTGTGTGGATGGGAGCGTGATCATGGCGAGTGGGCGTGTCTGTGCCCCTCCGAAGCCCTAGGGCATGTGAAACTTACTCCATCCTCCACAGGTGGGTGGAGTAACGCAGCTGGCTGGTGCAGTGGTCACTGGTCAGCTCAGCAACTAAGGGAGGCAGGAGGATCGCTGTTCAAGGCCAGCCAGGACAAAAATGTGAGGCCCTATCTGAAAAATGACCACAGCAAAAACACTGAAGTTGTGACTCAAGTGGAAGAGCACCAGCCCCACAAACCTGAGGCATGAGTTCAAACCCTAGTAATACTGATGTGTGTGTGTGTGTGTGTGTGTGTGTGTACGTGTGTGTG